TTACTTGATGATCGATTAAAACACTTAACTACACTTATTGTTCAAATATGTAAAACAAGCAAATCTTCATCACTCATTTACAAGATGGTAAGTTTTAACAAAGAATATCAACAATAAATGAAGTTGACTATCAATTCTATACACTTTTGTATTTATAAATATTCTTTTTTTTTATTGCATAGGATAATTTATCTAATTTGAAATGTTTTTCATTGAAATGTTATCTTCAACTTGATATATATGATGAGAAAATTCTACCGCTTCTTCATCGTATGACATATCTGGAAAAATTAACTTTATATCTTTCTATAAAAAATCGAAATACATTTATTGATAGTTCTCATCTTCAAAATGAAATTCTTCTTTATATGTCATGTCTTCATTCATTTACTTTTTATATTCGTACTTATGATCATGCTGCTGATTTATTTCGTTATGTGCCTAGACAAGATATTCAACGAATTACTACAAATATTGGACACCAACAATATATGGCTAATATCATAAATTATATCAGTAGTCATGAAGCTGTATGTTCTATCTTCTCACTTCCTTTTACATTTGATCGGACTCGAGCTGTTGGAAACATATTTCCAGATATTGTATTCAAGTATGTTACGGCTTTGGTGTTACATGATATAGTTCCATTCAATCATGAATTCTTTCTTCGAATTTCTCGATGTTTTCCATTAGTGCAGAAACTTAATGTTATAAATCTTATATTAGAATCATCGTGCGATATTAACTCATTTTTATCTAACGATAGTCAATCATGTTCAATCGCTAAATATCCTCATCTTACTAGACTTGACATCATGCGGGGAAACATTAACAATATTGAAGAATTTTTAAATGAAACGAAAACATCTGTACCATGTCTAACCAAATTAGTGATTAAATATAATGAATTGAGAATTGTGACAAAAAACTTTACAAGAGAAGAAACACGACACAATTGTACGAAGATAAGAGAACTTTTACTGTTCAACATGTCGATACAAACGAAAGATTATTATCATTATTTTCCTTCATTATGAAGGAAATTTTGTTTTGATTTGTTCAATAAATTGAAAAAAACATGATAAATTTTCTATTTCGATGAATGAGATAATTAAAATATAAAGAAATATTGACTATTAATGATGTTCTACTAACAGTTGATCTTAAGATGGTGATACTTAGAAGGAGGATTATAGAAGACATGTAAACAGTTCTAAAAATCAAATCATTATGTTTTATTCGTATCTTTGCACATCATAAAATATAATTTTGAAACCCACTAGGAAAGTTCCACTCCTTAAGACAAATGAGTTAAAAGATAGTTTACAAGCGATTCTCTAAAAATTGATTTTTTAAATGACTTTTAAAGCTCTATTGACTAGTGACTGTGAGATTGATGCTTCGTTCTCAAAAATAGCTTTCGGCTTCTGTACAATGGGGATTGTATTGAATATTCAAGATATATTGAAGGTATAGTGAAGAAGTGGTAGTAATATATTTTGTTCAATATCATGATTAGAGAACTGCGTGATCAAAGGAAAAAAAGATTGTTCAATAAAGGATCATCCATAAGAGACGTTCAGACAGAGAGGAAAGGGAAGAATCAGCAAAAAATGGACATTTCTGGACAAGAGAAAGAGGTAAGACCTCAGGGAAAAAAAGTGATCTGTCGTTTTGTGATTTAAATTGAGTTAAAATGATTTTTATGTACTCAAAAAGTGAGTACACTCTAGAATCGGTCAGTATGTCCGGCCGGCCGTTTACACGATAACTTTCGAAAGGAGAGTCCGATCACGATGAAATTTTCTATACAGTTCAGTCTTAACAATGTCTCGGTCGAATTCGAAGATGAGCAGGATCCGCCAAGAAATGGCTGAGTTATCGAAAAAATTGTCATTATTGACCAGACCATCTCTGAGAGGGGGTGCAGGGATTTTTTCAAAAAAAAACTTTTTTTTTCCGAATTATTCACAACATACATAAATCGACTCAGTTTTCAACGCTGATTCCGAATCTGACATTAGTTTTGAACCAAATCGTAGCTTTCTAACGAAACATTCCCCGAAAAAGGTCTCAAAATGCAGAAAAACTACATGAAGAAAGCAAGTAGGGTAGATATGTCTCAGATGATAAAAAACCAAGTGAATATATCTGTTCACTTTTTGAAGTACACATAACACTCGGATTTAAATCCGATGTTTTTGCATTTATTAAAGATGATTATTAGAAAATGTTAAATTTTTATCTCTAAATTTCGAACAGAAACTTTTATTTTCACGAAGTTGCCAAGGTCTGTATTGGGGAGTATGTGTATGTAATGTTCTTTCTGGCTGCTATGGTCTGTAAGTGGGGGGGGGGGGGGATGTGTATGTAATATTCTTTTTGGTTGCTATGGTC